CTCTTATTTGTTAAGTCTGGCAAAGACACCCCAAGGTTAGAAGTAGCATCTCAAAAAGCAGTAAAAGAGCCTTTATTGGAGAAATATTCTAATTAAAATGCTGCATTGCCACACACACACACACACACACACACACACACACACACACACTCCTACTTTGATTTTTGTTTTGTACCAATAAAGCTCATTTGAAAATGTAATATAAAAGTAATATAAAATTCTACCTTGTGAAAGCTATTATTCCAAATTGTCCAGGGTAATTAAGAAATGTGTCTTAGGGCCAGCCCAGCCCCTACTGAGGTGAGTGTACCCTCTGTTCCTGCCTGACTCCTGCCCAAAGTCTCATTCACCCAGGATCTCTCAGGGTCTGGGCCTGCTTAGGGTAGACCCACCCAGACAGGGAGGAGCTCCGTGATTCTGGAAACACTTCACTCTTACTTCACCTTCCACTGGCCTGACCCCGATTCCTACGAGTGAGGAGACTTTCAGGAGAGGCAAGACCATCCAGAGCTGCAGAAATTGAAGTCTTGGACCACATACAGCACCGGGTGACAAGAGGAGATAGAGAGACTCCACCTACTTGCACCCACTGGAAGAAGAGATGGGAAGAAGACAGAATAAGAACACACTCAACATCAAAAAGACCAATATGATGCCACCAGAATCTAAGGACTCCACACCACCAAGATCTGAAAAGCCCAACACAAAGGATGAAGAAGAGATGGACATCAAAAATTATCCTTGGAAGATGATAGAGACCTTTAAAGAGGAAACAAGAAAATCCCTTAAAGAAATAGAAGAAAAAAACAAGCAAAAAATTACATGAAATGGGGGAAAAGACAAATAAAAAAATTCAAGAAATAAACAAATCTCTTAAAGAATCTAAAGAAAGCCAAGAAAAAAACAACCAAACAAGAGAAGGAAGCACTCAAAACAGTTCAAGCACGAAAGATGAAACAGACACAAAAAAGAAAACACAGAATGAGGGGGTGCTGGAAATAGAAAGGCTGGATAAATTGTCAGGACTAAGGAGGTGAGTATAACCAATAGAATTCAAGAGATGGAAGAGAGAATCTCAGTTGTTGAAGACTCGCTAGAGGATATACAGTCATCGACCAAAGAAAATCTCAAGTCTAACAAATCCATAACACAAAATATCCAGGAAATATGGGACACTGTGAAAAGGCTGAACCTAATAATAGGTATAGAAGAAGGTGAAGAAATACAACTCAAATGTACAGAAAACATATTCAACAAAATCATAGAAGAAAACTTCCCCAACCAACAGAAGGATATGCCTATGAAAGTACAAGAAGCTTACAGAACACCAAACAGAAGTCCCCTCAAGACATAATAATCAAAACACCAAACCTACACAATAAAGAGAAAATATTAAGAGTAGCAAAGGAAAAAAGCCAAGTAACATATAAAGGCAAATCTATCAGGATCAC